GACCACGTCTCTGTCTTCTCCAAATAAAGCTTTGCATATGGATCCACACGTATCACGTCTCGTCAGCCCCGTAACAGATATCATATTTACCCTTCAAGACTGTCCTGCATTTAATTAGATAGTCAGTTATGTTACAAAGTAAATTGTAAACCATACATGTATTCAGTAGTGTGTATTCCCATAGTCATACTGTACTTTTTTGGAAGTGGCACTCAAAATGCCACTTCCAAAAAAGAAGTGACACTACACTACCATTCAAAAGTTGGATCACCAAGATTTTTGTTTATTAATTTATTTTAAAGAGAGGACGTATTAAATTGATCAAAGGTGACAGTAAAGACTGTCTTTAATTTATAATGTTCAAATCAATGCTGTTCTTTTCTTTAAAGATTCCTGGGGAAAAAAAGGAATCAAGGTTTCTACAAAAACATTGGGAAGTACAACTGTTTTCAACATTGATAATAAGAAATATTGAGCATCAAATAAGCACATTAGAATGATTTCTGAAGCATCATGACATTGAAGACTGGACTGATGGCTGCAGAAAATACAGCTTCGCAAATCTATATTGGGAAATATATTACGTTAAATTTTGCAGCCTTTGTGAGCATAAGAGACTTCTTTCAAAGCCATTAAAACCTCTTACCGAGCCAAAACTTCTGAAAGCTCAAAATATCTTATATTGTGGGTTTGGTTTCATAATCAGAGAAGAGTCTTGTGACATAATCAGCAATGTAATGCAGTCGTTAATAACTGCAACAAATTATAATTATGCAACTGTTCCCCAGATAATGATGGTGTATTTTTCCACCTCTCAAAGATTATAGGATTATCCAGGCACTCTTGGCTTGTTCTCAACAAGGGATTTAGAGCTAAATAGATTTAGTCAATATAAAAGCTATAAAGCGCACTGATTTCTGGGAGATCCCACTCATCATAAAAGGGCCCCAAGACATTGCACGCACTCAGAGGATAACACTGTAGTAACGTTCTCCAAACGCTGACATCAACGTTGGAGAGGACGTGGTGGTTAGAGTCAGTCAATAGGGTGCGACTATAGGACGGCTGTCAATAGGTGCCCTAGAATATGTCAGGAGGAAGAGGGATTCCAAGTTCCTGTCCAAATTTCAGGGCTTGACATGACTTGGGTCTGCAACACTACAGTTAAATATTTATTTATTGAGTTTATTAAAAAGGTTTCTTCAATGAAACACTGTGAGAAACTATGGAAACACAGTCCAACAGAAAGTCTAAACTGTAATTTGTTTTTGCTCAGTGGTTCGAGTTGCTGGACTTTGCCATGGCTCACTTGCTGGGTTTAATGCAAGAGGGCAAATGCCTCTTT